ATGGGAACCACAAGGCTCCGTGGCTGCAGAGCCAGTAAATAAACACACTGGAGCATCCAGTTGGCATGTTTCTCAAAGTAGATCCATGGACCACTTTATGAAACAGTGCTCAAGATCATTCCTGACAGGTATTTTTTGAACATGCTCTTTGATGAAGATTCCCCAACATCCCTAGGCAATTTATCCCAGTGGCTAACCATCCTGACAGAAGTTTTTCCTAATGTCCAATCTAAACCTCCCTTGCTGCATTTTAAGCCCATTGTTTCTTATCCTATCATCAGAGGCTAACAGAAACAATTTTCTTCCTGTTTCTTGTAATAACTTTTTAGTACTTGAAAAGTGTTATCATGTCCCCTCTCAGTCTTCTATTTTCCAGGCTAAACAAACCCAATTCCTTCAATCATCCCTCAGAGATCATGTTTTCTAGACCTTTAATTTTTTTTGCACTTCTCTGGATTATTTCCAATTTGTCCACATATTTTCTTTAAAGTTTTAATTTTGTTTTTCCTGTTTTTGCGTTCACCATTACTGGCCTCTAGTTCTCGTATCTCATTCATCAGTGAGTAACCTTTGGAGATGTCTTTGTGCAGGGTGGGAGGAGGTGTGTGCTGTTTCCCTCTCTCGCCTTTGCTCAGTAGGGTGACTTGCACAGAATTACAAGCTACTGCTAGAACAAGTATTCCATGACCCCGCTTCTGCAGTTTTTCTACCTCATCACTAGTAGTAGTATGCAACTTTTCAAACAAGATCTCAACTGCAAACTGATTATATTTTAAATAAGGTTGCATCACAGTCTGAATTCTGTTATCCCATGGGCTGTTCAGGACTGAAAGGAGGAACAGCTTTTGTACAAGGACAGAGTTGTATCTTAGGTCAAAAGTCAGCTTCTTGTGAGGCAAACAATATTTTGTCTCAAGTGCTCAAACTAGGAAAACCTGAGGTGTGTCTTCTTGTTCTTGTAGCACTCTTGACTTTTTAAAATAAAAGTTTAATCCCAGAATTGGCTCCCTCGCTTATCAGGAGCTCAGATAGCCCAGTCAGTAACAAACACCAGCCAGGAGTCATAAACTTGAACACTTAGTCACAGCATTGACTGTAAGACAGGCTAAACCTGTCAGTGTCTGGGCACCTCTCATGACTTGCTAGAACAGAGGCTGGAAGGCCTGGAGCAATGCTCCATAGAACTTACTTAGGAGGTTTCTAGGCTTATTTGAAGGGATAAACCTAAGCCAAGCCTACACTGGCAAGTTACAGTATAATAAATCAGCTCCCAGCAATGCAGCTCCCAAGGTGTCCACACTGGCAAAGCATTTAGTTCACACTAATTCCACAGTTAATGTGCTCTAGGTAAGCCACCTCAGCAAGAAATGTAGAGATTGCTTTGCTTTGGATACAGCACTGGTGGGCCAGTGTGGACACTTGAATTGTTTTCTGTGTTCTGACTGGCCTCTGCAAATGGCCCATAATTCCTCAATTCCCCTCTGCTACTTGTTTTGAACTTGGCTGTCCCTACAGGCATGTGCATGTCCTCTTTTAGATCTCCATTTTGGATAGCCTGCATTCTGTGCTGATTTGCTCTGGGACACAGAGCAAGCCATTCAGGTGAAATTTCCCTGCTGTTGAACACAGAGGCAGGGGAGGGAGAGAGAGAGAGAGATTGCTGTGCAAAGAGCCGTGGAAGAGATGGAAGGAGGCTTAGATGTCAGGGTTTCCCTCTCTCCCTGCCTCAGGATGGGTTGTTTCCTGCTG